AGCTGTACTTTCCACTTGTACGTTGGTGATACCTCCTTTCAATCAGCTAAAAGAAAATATATTCTATATTACGGAGTTTTTACAGGTACACGGCTTAGGATAACCTACGAGATGATTTTAAAATTTTATTTTCTGCTTACTATTAGAACTAACTTACTTTTTTCCAGGGATACTTGATTAACAGGCTTGTAGCTGTACCCTCTTTGATAAGAGCAATCCTTCCGTCTTTGCAAAGTCGACGCTTCAGAAGAATTCAATATTCTTTGAAGTTATTAGTGCTAAGTGGTGAAGTCTTACACCTTTCCTTGTGCAAGACGCTTCTGAAGTTACTCCCTCAAACTTCGGTTTTGAATTTGTATGGGAGCACGGAGGTTAGATCTGAAAACTTAATACTTCAAGATTTTGAATTTCGATTTCTTTCACTGGATACTATTTGATAATTGTAGAATAGGGCTGATGTGGAGCCGTGGATGGTGGCTTATTTTGCCTTATGTGGTCAATTATTTTTAAGTCGTTTTACATGTTATCGAACACTTGTGTGAAACATGTTTATGTTAAGGTGACAGGTGACTGCACATACTTCGACTGCAAGAGATTGCCACTGATTCTTGAAAAGGAAGAACTTAGCAGTGTGCCAGTTGGCTTGCCTTTATCTAACTGTGAAGTGGTCCTTGTTGGAGAAGATGCACCGTTGCAAGGAGAGATATATGTGAGCGGGCTATGTGTTGCAGCGGGTTACTTCGACTATCCATATCTTATCCCTTTAGCGGATAGAGTTCAAAAGTACTTCAAAACGGGAGATTTTGCCAGAAAGCTGTCGAGTGGCGATTTCGTTATTATTGGTAGAAAGGATCGTACATTGAAGGTCAATGGTCAAAGAGTCGCTCTTGAGGAGATCGAGACTGCATTTCGCGACCATCCTAGTGTAGTTGATGCTGCAGTGCTATCCCGTGAGGTTGATGGAGAAATCTTGCTTCTTGAAGCTCATGTGGTGATGGAGGAAAAAAACGAGGATGATGAACTTTTGGAATCTTCTCTTAGGAACTGGCTATTGAATATGCTTCCTCAGGTTATGATACCGACTCGTATATTGTTGACCAGATCACTACCTTTGACCTCATCTGGAAAAGTTGATTACATGTCGTTGGCTGCTTCGACGACGTCAGATGAACAAGACAGGATTAATGTCAAAGAAATGAACCAGGATAACCTCATTCAAGTTATCTTAAAGGTTCTATCTGCAAATTGAAGTATTTTAAAGCATGCTTTAAACCTTTTTACTACTCATGCATGCTTCGGGGGTGGGGTGGGGGCACAATTTTCCAGGCTAAACTTCTTTTAAGAAGTCTTCTTTATTTTAATTTTTCAGGTATTTTCTGATGCACTGATGGTCGAAAAGGTTTCTGTGGATGACGATTTCTTTGAGATGGGTGGTAATTCTATATCCGCAGCCTATGCTACTTTCAAGTTGGGAATCCATATGAAGTTGTTGTACACTTTTCCGACCCCACGTAGGCTTCAAACGGCACTTTTATCATCCAAATTTAGTGTACAAATTGATGCTCATTCGGGAGTAGATAGTAATATGGATAATTACAATCCCATCAAAAAATTGAAGGTCGAATCGAAGGAGCAAAGTCCTAGGGATATATTATGGAATCCCGGTGCAGTAGTGCACACAGAATGTACTTTTAGTCGATGCAACAGAAGCACACATGGAGTACAATGTGAGGAAAATTATTCAAGCAACGCGGCCTCGTCAAAGATTAGACCAAGAGATGGAAAAGGGTTTATGCAAGTACAGTGGAAAGTTGACATGGAATCTTGTGTCGATGCATCACCTCTTGTCGTTTTTAAAGGAAGTCGTGTTTGTGTTTTCATTGGATCTCACTCACGCAAATTTGTTTGTATAGATGGCAAAAGGTAATTTCGGGGGTTCTCTATCAAATTTTATATAATTATCTTTTTGTATCATTGGAAATTTTATATGACATTTAATTATTTTTAGTGGAGTTGTTCAGTGGGAGACGAAACTCGAAGGACGGGTAGAATGCTCTGCTGCAATTCTTGACGATTTCTCTCAGGTTTTTTAATTTATCTCATTTTAATTATTTTGATTTGCATAGTATCTTCTTTTCTTTCCTTTTTTTTTTCTTTTTTGTTGTTGAAAAAATCTCCCAAATTGACGAGAGTGATTTTATAGGTTATAGTTGGATGTTACAAGGGAAAGATTTATTTCCTTAACTTTTCAAACGGCAGTGTCAGTTGGAGTTTTCAAACGAATGGTGAGGTACTATAGTTTCCTTCATATTCAACAATATAATAAGCACCATGTGATGCAAACTTGTTTAAATATGAATTAGTATTAAGGTTCTTATTAACTTGTAAGAAGGAGTTGGTTCACTGCATCTTATTACAGTAAATTTCGTTTAGTTTGAATTGTCTATTTTACTCGTTTCCCGTTGCAGTTAATCGTAAAACTGTTTAAACTCGTCGGATGTTTTTATTCATATTTCTCTCTTCTTTTTTTCTTTTTTTTTTTCTGAACTTTTCAAGGTAAAATCACAACCTGTGATCGACAAACGCAGACATTTGGTTTGGTATTTTTTTTTTCTTTCTTATTCCTTAATATAGACTTCTCTGTTCAGAACAATATATCATCGGGTTCACAATGTATTGTCCTTATTTTCTTTTCAGGTGCGGATCTTACGACCACAATTTATATGCGATCGATTACAGAAACTACTGCTGTATTTATAAACTTCCATGCGGTGGCAGTATATTTGGTTCACCTGCTATTAACGAGGTGGGTTTTGTAAAGTCATCGCAACGTAATTAATTACCTCTTTAACTTATCAAAATAACTTTTCAACATGCTTTTCTCTTTTCTTCCGTCTGTATTAACTACGTACTAAATACTTCTTAGCTTCTAACCGTTGTTTCAGTTTTGCAGATGCAGGAAAACCTTTATGTAGCATCCACCAGTGGTCACATTACAGCCTTGGAAATTAAGGTTTTTCTTACAATTGTGTTTGAAAATTGTATTTTCAAAAACTCTCGTATGACTTTCGTATGGCAATTTCAATTAACTCGATTGTTATAGTGTTAATCCGTGATACGGTAATTACCTTTTCATGTAGACAATGCCCTTTAAGAAGTTATGGAAGCAAGACATAGGAGCCCCTGTTTTCGGCTCTCTCTCGATCAATTATCCGAATGGAAATGGTATGTACACAATTTTATTTAACCCTATATCTTCTACAGTTCCTCTTGATCCCCTTTAAGGCCTCGTTTGGTTTCCAAGATAAGATTAAATAATCTAATGAAAGTTCCAATAAAAAAGGCGCTGCAAAATGCAAGAAAAGCCATGATAACATAGTATTTTCGGGTCGCCCGGCAAGTTATTAAGTATACAAACATCAAACAGAGTCCGATTATTTAGTAAGTCATGGCTAATCTCCCCAACCAAACAAGGTCTTAAAAATCATTTGGATGTTACTTCTTTCATCATCCTCAATAGTTTCTCCTGCAATTTCTAATTAGCGATTTTGCTTCTTTTTCTTTATATGCCGGAGCACAATCTTATCATTGTTCACGTCTTTGCTTTCATGGATGTCTTATTCTCGTCTTTTTGGTATTCATCGTTTGCAGTCATTTGTTGCTTGGTAGATGGTTCTGTTGTTGTTCTCAATCCCTCTGGCTCTGTCGTATGGAAGGTACGCACTCAGCAATCAGTTATCTGCTGTCAAATAAATCTCAATTTCAGATTCTCGTATAATTTCAGTCAATCTCTTTTCTTCATATTTTCCTCGTTTCTGTAACAGGTCAAAACCGGTGGGCCAATTTTCGCTGGACCTTGCGCATCTCGAGCATTACCTTCCGAGGTCAACTCCTTTGACCTATAAGCTCTGAATAAACAATCACAAGATTTGGTAATATATATATCATTTTAATTGCTGTACCTACTTACATCTCATGCAGGTCCTCGTGTGCTCCAGAGATGGAAGCATCTATTCTTTCGAAACGGTGAGATTAATTTCTCTCCAATATATGATTTTATCTTAAAAAATCAGTTCTTAGTCACGTCCACAATCTAATCGTTAAAGATCTCCGACAATTTCGATTTCAATATGATATTTAATTACAGGAAACGAGTAACCTAATCTGGAAGCATTCAATCGGAAGTCCAATTACTTCTTCTCCTTATGTAGACGACAACTCCCCTATTTCAGACAGGTAATAATGATTTCTTGATCTCTCTTTATTACACTACGGAGAATTTCGTAATCGTAAAGCCACGTTATAAGGACCTCTACACACACACACAAACACAAATTTAAAAAAAAAAAAAAAACTGTAATCCTAGTCCTTCGTTTCAGGTTAATATGTGTATGCGACAGTTCTGGTAGTATTTACGTATTAAGAGTCGACTCGAATGCTATTGGGGATTCGGAACAAAATACGGAAAATACGGTACGAGAATTTGCTCGGTTAGATCTACAAGGAGATATCTTCTCTTCTCCTGTGATGATTGGGGGCAGGATTTTTGTGGGTTGCAGAGATAACCATGTGTATTGTATTGCCCTTGGTCTCGAATAATGGTATAAAGCCTCGTACGGTTAGTAGGATACGTCGTGATTTTAAATAATTAATTCTTATTTGATATTAAAAAAAATAATTAAGGCAAACTTATCTTGATCCAATTATGCAATTAATTAAAGTTTCATAGGATTGTACGATTAACGAACCAAGCTTGAATATATATTTTTGTTTGATAAGGTGCAAAGTTCGAGATCGAGCTCGATTAGTGATAAATGAAAAATGAGTTCATTAGAGCTTGATTCGTGTTCGGCTCGATCAACTATTGATTGATTGTTGTTCAAAGTTATGTTTTCGATCATCAATTGCTAATATATATATATATATATATTCTAAATTAACGAACGAACAAAACAAGAGTTCTAATATTCAAAAATCCTAATTCTCTTGTTCAAATCGAACAAACCTCCATAGTCCGCAATCCTTGTTCAATATTCAAAACCCTAATTCTCTTACTCGTAATCCATGGAGGTTTATTGTTCTTCTTCGCAGTAAAGGGACCAAGCGTTTTGACGTAATTGCCCTTGCCCTAGTGGCCTCGATAGTCTCACCCTCTTGTTGAACGGTGCAGACATCGAGGCCCACAGCTACGGGGACCGGATCAAGATCCGACGGTTGAGATTGACCGAAACCAACGGCATCGCGACATAGATGCAATGCTTCATTTAGAGTCATCCAGTAACCCTCGAGCCTGCCCCAAGATTGAACGAGCATAATAATGCATTCATCGTCCCCTTCCTTCAACACTACTACACTGAATTTCTCCGAGCCGACAACCTCGTCTTCGTCGTCATCATCATCATCATCATTATTATTAGAGTCCCTGATTGTTGTGTTGTTCGTCTTAACGATGAAATTAGTTCTAATCTTGAAGATGATGTTTTTAACTCCAGGATACAAGATGTAGTCTTTGGTATTTGAGAGCATGTCGTTATCAATCGAGAACTGATAATTGTATTCATATCCCACTCGACGACCACCACCACCACCATCCATCGATCGACCGAAGATCTTTAACCTTTATAGATAATATTAATATATATACCTAACCACAAACAAAAAAATAATAAATAATACATTATCGATTTTGAATCAGGGAAAGATTAAACACAAGCAAAATACGTATTGACGACGTTCGACGAACAAAAATAAGAAAAAAATAAGGTCATCAAACAACCATCGATATGATAAATCAAGACGTACCTTACCTTATTGATACGCGTAAGACCTGCGTATGAAAAACCGCAAGTATACAGTATCGCGTTTTGTAGAATAGTGAATTCCAGATATCGATCCACAGGGAATTAAGTTCATAAATTTACCAAGTACCGTAATTATACTATTCTAAACTTTATCTAGACATACGAAAGAATGGGGGCTGTGGAATTAAGTTCATAAATTTACCAAGTACCGTAATTATACTATTCTAAACTTTATCTAGACATACGAAAGAATGGGGGATGAAGCTAAAAAGAAAAGAAACAATAATAAAGACAACAGTCCGCCAGGACAATCGAGGAATTCCGACGTGTGATGGCTTCTAGGGTAAAATCCACCAGTGTACTATCGATAAACATCTACAGATCCGAATCTAATGTCAATTCTATGTTCGCTAACCCAGACACTAAAAGACCCTAACCCCCGTCTCCAGTGTAGTTAGAGTCTACCCACAGGTCCGACGTCTCCGTTCAGAACCTGATATTAAGAGAGCATTTAGGTCAAGTCCTTAAGGGCTACCCGAGGTGCATCACGTCTCCGTTTCCACAACCCGAGCTATGTTTCCTAAAATCAAACGAGAAATCCTCTCTCGAGTTCATTCCCATTTACAATCAATTTAACTATTGGCCAAACAATCGAAAGCATTTAATACAGGAAAACATAAACATAATCAAAGAACAACAAATATATCACATATCTGGAAATCAAAATCAATATGTACAAGGTTTCATTACCCTAAAAGAAAATGCTCAGTTCATTACAAACATAACATCAAAATGAAGAACACGAGAAATCATAAACTAAACGTAAAGAAAAGATTATGAAAAACCCGAGTCGAAACCCTCGTCGAAGCTTCCAGCTAAGAACTGGCGAAAAGCCGAAAACCGAAGAAAAATCGAAGAAGAAGTCTTGAGATAGGTCTTTTTATGGTCGAGATCTTCAAAAATGAAGAAGATACCTTCTATTTATGGAAATAAATCAAAGCAAAATATCTCGTCTCGAATTATGTGCCCAGATCGCGATCTGGCAGCCTTGGAAACTGCGCACCGCCTTTTCAGATCGCGATAAGGGAATGGTGGATCGTGATCTGGTTTCTTGATCAAAAAATGTACTGTGAGACCTCCCGGATCGCGATCTGGGTCGTGATCAAGAAAGCGTTCTGTAAGACCCCCCAGATCGCGATACAGGAAGGCTGGATCGCGATATGGGCTTCTGAGCCAACTTCAAACACGGTTTTGACCTTGTTTTAGCCCGAATTTGACAATTTTTCATTTCACAAAAGTTTTAGAGCTTGAAGTTAGCTTTCTATGGCCACTTGAATCAGATTAATCGGGGGTCGTATGAGAAAGTTATGCTTGAAATACGAAACAGTGCCACAACCCGCGATAATGCACTTTTACACGTGTTTGGTTTGATTTTCGGCTTCGTTTCCAAAATCGTTTCGAATCGGAAAAAATAGCTTCTCTTTACCTAAAGTATAAATAAAACAAAAACAACATTATATATACAAATAAAGCCAAAAAATCGGACGAACGAAGACCAAAACTCGAAGAATTGATGAGTGAAAATCATGCAAAATGAACACTTATCACACCCTCAAATTTAGATCTTTACTCGTCTTGAGTAAATCAAACAAAACTACAACAAAACGGAATAAAAACACAAACTAAAACTAGGCCACTAACGTAGGGAATCACGATTGCATTTAGCGTATGCAACAAGCCTTTGAACCCCTACGTACCCCCAAAGGACGAGTTGTGTCTCGTGAGGGTTTTCAGACAACACACCCACAAAGTTGCCGGATTGGTCAAAGCATTGCAATTAATTTCAAAAATAAACGAGCTAGATACCTAAAATCTCATAATGGCA